GAGGATGACGACGACAGAGAAAACAAAGAAGAAATTTTTGGTTTTGTTATTTTCTTTTTTATGCAAATTCTTCTTTTTAGAAATGATTTATTTTTATAATAGTATAGTTCAACTTTGATACTCAGCATCCTGCTAATGAAATTAACCTGCTTAACAGAAATATGGACGAAATGTTAACGGAGAGTTGTATCTCTATAGGTTTGACTATTATTTTATAAAGCGTAGAAGATTTAAGGGTCAATAGTATAAATTGCCCCTCTATTATGATATTTTCTCTAACTTGCCCCTCTGTTATGTATCACATCACATTTGCCGTTATCTAATAATCAAGTTACCAAACTTGACCTTCTGTTACAAATTCCATCACAATTGCGTCAACTATGATGCAACCTTGGACCAGTCTGACCATTGCAAAAGAGTATGTCAATTTTAAAAACACACCCCTCCCCATTGAGACGAAAAGAATCGCAGCCGTCCCTACAGAGTCTCTAGAAGCCTCTTCTCGTTCCTTTTAACCGAGTACCCCAATCTTCCCTTGTGGCCCTGTTCCACCGTGGAGTCCCTCCATATCGTCTTTCCACCCTCGACCCAACACCAACAAGTCAATCAATCCAGAAATACTCTTTCCCTTTCCCCAAATCATCACTATAAAATACAAACCCTAATTCCAAGATCCCAAATCTACATCAGTAGAAGGATAGTGAAAGGCGAGCATTCGCGAGCAAGATAGGGCGTTTGCTGGCTCCGTCCTTTGTCCCTTGTGACTTCTTCCCCTCAACCACATCCATTCTTGAGAACTTTCATCAACAATACTAAATTTCAGCACATTGCCTATCTTTACGTTAAGTCTCCTTTCTCCATTTGAATGTTAATTGAACCTCTGTTTCACTCCTCAACTATTAGTTTATGGTTCTGTTTACCACTTAAAATTTCACTTAGTACCACATTGATAATGTTCAAGAAGTGGTAGTGATTTATAAGCCAACTTAACCATATTAATTAAATTGGCTTAAGTTGTGCCTAAATTATGGAATTTGGGCTTCATACAAGTTACCTCAATACATACCCCTTGACCCACCAAACGCCCACCTGTCATGCAAGGGGGGTCAAGAAGCATCGACATCCTTCAACATCAACCATCCCATGTCAGCATGGGCAAAATTTGGATAAGTATGGGGACCCAACCATAAGGGGGTCAAGCATGACATCATCCAAGGGGGTCAAGCACCAGATACCATACAACCTAATTACCTTTAACTAGGATGTCAAATGTGATGTCGTGCAATGAGGGCTGTCAAGTATACGAATACCTCTAGAACGTGGCGGCAGAGGAGAGAAATTTGGCTAAGTGTTGAGACCAAACCACAAGGGGGTCAAGCATGACATCATACAAGGGGGGTCAAGCATGATGTCATGCAAGGGGGGTCAAGCATGACATCGTCCAAAGGGGGTCATGCACCAAGTACTATGCGACCTACCTAGCTTATACTAGGGTGTCAAGGATGACGTCGTGGAAGGCGGTCATCACGAGTATACCCGAAGAAGGAAAGATGGCTGAGTCCCCACCACTCACCTGCCCGCAGTCAAGCATCTAGCTACCCACATACCAAGCACTAGGTGTCAAGCGTAACCTCATATAAAAGGAGTAGATGCAGTGGGGATGTAATCTGGTTAAGTATCAAAACCTCAGCACTCATCCCCCAAGCAAGTCGCGTACCCACCTATCAAATACTGGGGTGTCAAACATGACGTCCTGTCAAGGGGTAGGCACAAAGCACCATCATAGCAAGTAGTCAATCATGCTATACCTCGTAGTTGTGCATGGTACCCGGTAGACAAGACCATTAAGTTTCTAAGTGGCAGTCATGTATATCTTAACATGGTAGACTAGCTTGTAAAGACACTGCAAGCATGATGCCACCCCAAATGGGGTCAGTATGCATCCATCAGCCCTCCAACCATCTTGGTGCCAAGCATAATGTCATGCAAGGGTGGTCAGCATGAGTACCACCAAGGCATCAAACATCAAGATGAAGACAAACGAGATACCTCCACGACACAAGGTGGATACCTGCCAAGTGAAGTCATCAATCCATCAAGATACCAAGTGGTCAGCAGGCAAGCAAGGTGGTTAAGACATCAAGAAAACTACATCAAGCACCAAGCATGAGAGGCAGCGGTTACAAGAGACAGTTACATGGTGGTTACAAGGAATGACTATAAATAGGAGAAACGAAGACGAAGCAAGGGTTCCACAACCAACCATTTGACACACAATGTCAAACTTTTATCTTTTCTCTGCAAATTAGCCATAGCCTTAATTTTCGGAGCTCTCACTGAACCTCCATAGGAGTAGGTGTAATGTAGTTTGTTCCCAAAAACCAACAAAACATCAAACACCCTCGTTCGAACATTGTTCAGAGAGGTGTGAACCGTGTTTAGAATCGTTATTCAATAAGTTAAAGGTGCATTCATTGAAATCAAACACCAGATTTTCCTCGCCGGAAAATAGGTTCAAATAACTAGAAATAATTAATTTTACAGAGTGATAATGATTGAGTTAAGAAGATGCTTTCCGTTTGGTTTTAGATAATGCAACTCGTAGGGCTTGAAAATGGAACTCAGATCTTTGGAGTTTAATCTGAACCCCGCCAATAAAGATGTGTGTTTATCGTCGGAGAAGCTAGTCACTTCGTCATTGCCGCAATACCGTCCTTAGCCTTACTATTGGTGATTGTTTGTTCCCCGTCCAACTATTCGTAGCCGTGATATTCATTAGTTGAGAATTGGAGAGTTGAAAAAAAAAACAAGAAGAGGGTAGATATGGAGACTACTAACACTCGTTGACGTGTCTTTCGTCGAAGGGTGGAGAGATTGCTGATGAAGAAGAGCTAGGGTGCCGTTTCCTTTTAGAAATTATTTTTCTTCTCGACAAATGGGAAAAAAATGACATTTCCCACCACTCAAACCATTCAAGTTTAACGGAATATGGATGGAATTTGTGACGGAAGGTTAAGTTTGATAACTTGGTTATAGTAAGAGGTCAAGTTTGATGTGATATATTATAGAGGGGCAAGTTTGAGAGAAAATCATAGTAGAGGGGCAATTTATACTGTTAACCCAAGATTTATTCGTAACCCTAAAATTAAAAGATCTCCCTAAACCAAACTAAATTGACACATATACCCTTAATTTCAAACCTAAACCATCGCCCCTCAACCCCAAAGCTGTCATCCACCCACTACTCTCCACTGCGGACCCAATCATTGCTCTCGTCTCACTACCCCGCTGTTGGAGTCACTCCCTGACGCTCTCTATTCTTGTTGTTGCTATCGAGAAGGAGGAGAAAGGAGAACGAAGAAGAAGGTCGCTCCCTGCCGCCGCCGCTGCCACCAGAGTCGCTCCCCTCGCTGTTGCTATCGACCAGGAGGAGGAAGACGGCCCCTTGATGCATCGCCAAAAGGAAGAAGAAGATGCAGCGCTATAGAACAATTTTTTCTTTTTCGTTGGCATTCCACCGTTGGTGTGTAGGCGGGTTTTGAACTGGTTTCTTTTATATTTTTAATAAATATTGTTGATCCTTGTAAAAAAAAATATAATTAAATAGTGTGATGTATTCATTTAGTGTTTGATGAGCAGATGAAAGGATCGAAGCTCCACCGTTGGTTTTGCTTTCTAGTAATGGACGACAGTAGCTTAGACCCTTTCGTTTCCCCCTATTAATCTGAAGGATAATTATGGGCATTAGAGTAAATTTAATAAAATTAGGGCGGCGAATAATAATTTCTAGGGCGACGAATAGCATCCCCCAAGATTTAACTATTAAATTGTATTTACACTAGTTATGACAAAAGTATAAAAAAAATTTTGGGGTAATTTACAAGGTTAGTCACTGGGATTACAAAAAACATTCATATTTGGTCACTAAGATTAGTGAAATATTTCAAAATTTGTAACTCTCCGTTATCCACCACCGGTCTCAGTTAACACCGTCAGTTTTTTAGTGACGCGACTAACATAAACGATGAGTCACTTACTTTTAACCCTAAAAAAAACCTACCCGCCACATCATAGTAATCTCCATGTCAACCCACTACTGACCCAACCAAATCCCTGACCCCACCCCATTTCTTGATCCTTCCCCTTCGCGTCAAGAACCCAACTTTTTCCCTCTCCGGATCCGATTATCCAACCAGCCGCCATTGCAACCATCTTGGACCTCGAAACTGACCCCAACATTCCTGAGTTCCCGGTCCGTGTCGGATCTAAGCATCTGAGGCTTCACTGCCTTCGGTGGTGGACCACTTATTGTTAGCAAGCAAGGTCGTCGGATCGCCCCTCAACATCGAAGCGAAGTTTACCGATGCGTCGCTTCCCTCTAGATCAAAGTCCATATATGAACTTAGGCCAAGCTCGGTGGTTGCTAAAATCTCGGAGTAGACAAATCTCGCCTCCTCTTCCTTAGAGTGAACGAAAACGTCGACGAGCTCAATTCCGTTGGCACCCATCCGGACGGTGAAACTTGCGACGCACCGGGATTGGGTTTGACGAAATCAAGTGGCCGAGACTGTTACTGGGATTAGGTATGGGAAGAACGAGATTTAGAAATTTGGGTATTTTTGGTTTTCTGGGTATTGGATTCAGGTAAGAAAAATGAACAAGAAGTAGATTTCTGATTCGGAAAGGAAAATGAGATGGACAAGGTGACACAGTGGGTTTTCCGTTTTAATGATGTGGTGAGTCGAGTTTCATCATGTCTGGGTTAAATTATATTGATTAGACAATTCTGTCAATCACGTCAGCATATAACACACTTAATTAACGGAGGCCGATGGAGACCAACGAAGAATGACCAAATTTGTAATGTTTGTATAAATGGAATTAATTTTTTTTTTACAAGAAGATTAATTATTTTTAGTGATCAAATAAGACTGTTTTAGTAATCCCAATGATCAAACTTGTAATTTACCAAAAAAATTGTACTTTATTATATAATAAACGTCACTGATTCCCAGGGCAAAAAACTCCGATCTTCTTGCGCGTCCGAATCCCTAAAGCCCCAAAAAACTCCGATCTTCTTTCGCTGCTGCTGAGATGAACACGCAACAGACTGCTCAGCTAAAATCTTCTGCCAATGGATTTGCTCGTCGAAGAAGTGAAAGGGAAAGCGGAATGAGATTGGAAAATAAACATCAATCTGGGAAATTAAACCAGAATAGATCGATGAATGCAAGTGAGGGCCTCCGACTTTTTCTGCTAAGCCTTGTCTGTTGAGAGTTTTTCTTTGACAATGTTTGTTTAAGTGCAGTTGGGACCAGCAAAGCTCCAGTTTATGAGAGTCCATCTCGTGATCGGCTGGTATATCTATCAACCTGCCTTATTGGGCATCCTGTGGAAGTCCGGCTCAAAAATGGGTCCATCTACTCTGGAACGTGTCACACCACAAATGTTGAGCAGGAATTCGGTAAGCTTCTTGAGCTTGTTTGGTTGAAGATTCCCGTAGTTTGTTAATTAGTGTACTGGTTTGTATTATTTCTCAGTCTTTTAAATGATTGTATGTTTCAGCTATTATTTTGAAAATGGCTCGCATGACAAAGGACGCGTCTTATCGAGGGAGTAAGCAGGAATATGTTATGAAAGCTCCTTCGAAGACTTTAATTATACCCGGAAAAGAGGTTGCAGAGGTCATAGCTAAGGTTAGATGCATTTCCTATCTTTCTGCTTGAAGATGATATATGTGATAAAGCCAGGCTCACACACAGTGAATGAAAGAGTTAGATAGCTATTCCTGATGAAAGAAACTATGAAGCTATTGACTTGTTCTTTTGATTATTTGTACTGTATGATAGTTGTTTATTTGACTCTGCCAGGATGTACCTGTAACTGTTGCGGGGCAGTCCAATGAGCTCCAAAATGAAAGGCATGAGGACATTTTGATAGATTCATCTATATCACACTCCCGTCACGTGGAACTGGATAGAGAGCTATCACCGTGGGTACCTGATGAAGATGATCCACAATGCCCTGGACTTGAGAACATATTTGACGGCCCTTGGAACAGGTTACTATGATGAACATTCCTAGATTCATTTCTTCCAGTATTTTTTTTTCCTTTTCATATTGTGGCTAGTTGTATGGGTGCTGCCAAACTGGTGCTACCTGTTATTTTTTATTGGGTGCTCTACTTGTTATTTGTTATACTATTGCTAGGAATGAAAGCCTGCAAGGTTACTTGAGTTGATAGTGGCTTTGCTTTCTTGGCTTGGTCCTTTATCGAACCACTGTTAGAGCACTCACCTTCACCCAAAAGAAAGGCTTGGGTAGAAACTAGATCCTGGAAAAAGTTATTGTAATGCAATGGGATGATTCTCTTGGAATCATTGCCATCTGAGGTTTGTGATATCCATTTGGCCTTTTATGTTATTTCAGGGGGTGGGATCAGTTTGAAACAAACAAAATGTTGTTTGGAGTGAAAAGCACTTTTGATGAGGAGCTCTACACTACAAGGTTGGAGAAGGGCCCTCGAATGAGAGAGCTGGAGAGGGAAGCAACAAGGATCGCTAGAGAAATTGAGGGCGAGGATACAGAAGACCTACATTTAGCGGAGGTGATTGAGTGCTCTCTCCAAGCTTTCCTTTCCTTTTCTATTTTCCGTTGTAAAAGCCATTGAATCTCGACTGAAATATGGATTTCAGGAAAGGGGCATCAACCTTGGTGAAGATTTTGATGGTGATGAGGAGGTGAGGTTTTCTTCAGTCATCAGAGGCAGGGGGCTTGATGATAGTGGATACGATGAAGATGAGGATATATTGTTAGACAAACGGAATACTGAAACATTCGGTGATGTACCTGCATCATCCGGTGCAAAGACTGACCACCTGCATCGTGGTACAAGCAATGACAGTGCCGGAGCATTATTAACCTCTTCAGTGGTATTACTCTTTTAATTCTCTTTTCTGGGATGAAATGTTCATTATTTAGACAATTGATACTGTTGTTGAAATTTCTTCTTGGCTCTAATATAATGGGCTTTGACTGTATGGATAGTGATACTTGCCTTTTGTTTGTGATTTCCAGGATGAACCACAATGTTCTCAATCAAGTAACGGGTCAGAATTTTTCCAGTCCAATACATATGACCATTGTAGACAGCAGGCAGATGATCTTCCGTGTAAAAGTTCCACTTCAGACTGTAATGGAAGGTCTTTATACAGGTCTCTCCTTGTTCATTATATTTGCATTTAGTGCTTTGAATTGTATGCAAAGGACACATTTCTCTGTGGTTATGCAAGTTCCTAAACTGCTCACCTTGAAACTGTAGGAATCCCGAGATTTTGCGAGTTGCACAAGGGCATGATAGCATTAATGCTAGCATTGAGACGAAAACGGTGAGGCAAATCTCCCAAATCCTCCAGCCATTCTTTTGATAGTTGAATCTGCTACATTTACCTTAGATAAATGGATTCTGATGGAATATTCCATCCACTCTTTGCTTCACAAATACAGGTAGCTGTGGATGGCAAGTTGTCTAAATCCAATGGTAAGGGAATTACCATTGTTTATATGCCTTCTGCTAATGTTGAAAGACAGAATTTTGCTATGCATGCGGGTGTTGTAATGAGCAACTAGTTCTTGTCTGAAATTGTTGTTTTGCTGCTTGTACTTCCTATATTTGTTGCCTTTCAGAATCCCAGTCTGCAGAGAACAGTCAGACTGCTGGCTTTGATAGAGGTGGACTATTGGCTGATGCTCCTTCGGTGACAAGTTCTGTAAAGGAAATGCCACCTACTGAACCAGAGGTTGTTTATGTTAAAGCGGATGGAGAAAGTTCTGGTGTTAGTGCATGCAGACAACCTGGTACTTTTGCATCAGGTTCGGATCATGCAGGTGCTACGTCAGCTTCTAGTCATCCTGCTGTATCTCCAAGCTCTTCGTTAATTGGTTCCTCATCTTCTGAAAATTCAACTCTGAATCCACATGCTAAGGTGTGAGTTAGTGCAACATAGTGCTTTCTATACCCCTGCAGATAATTTCATGCTTTGCTACCATTATGTTGGGTTTCTTCGTGGCCAGTGCACTTAGTATATTTTTTTTTTTTTTGGCTTCCTGTTGTGTTTCATATTTGCCAACAGGAATTTAAATTCAACCCAAATGCAAAGAGTTTCACTCCTTCACATTCGTCGCCAGTTCGACCTCCATCACCGGTTTCCGATGGTTCTTATTACTTCACGCCAAATGTTACCACTTTACCACAAATGCACGGGATGCCAGTGGGGATTGGAGTAAGTATTAAAACTGATCACTTGCTGTGCTTCTCCTTTTGATTGGTAGGAGCTAAAGAGAACCAGCACTTCCTATTGAATTGGCAATGATCATTTGTCGATGTTCTTTGCAACACAAAAATTGAACCTTAGTTATGTGATAAGTTCATCGTGTTTATTTGTGGATTTTCTGAATTCGTTGACTTGCAAGGTTTACATGTAGGGCTGATAGGAATAGTTGATGAGATTCTCTTCCGTGAAATAATGGTAACTAATATTGGATTTTGCAGATGGGTCCATCATACAGTGGGCATCAGCATGTTCTATTTAACCCACAAGTTGCACCACTGCGATCTCCCCAACCTTATTTCCATCCTAGCGGGCCTCAGGTATGATGCTGTTGTTTGTTAGTCAAGACCCAAAATTGACGTGCTGTGCTGTGCTGTGCTGTTGGTTGTGATCATACAGAACAGTGGGCATATAGTCTTACCCAAATATTGTTGTGATTGCAGTATGGTCAACAGATGAATCTTGGCCACCCGAGGCAAGTCTTGTACATGCCAGGCTACCAACCTGTAAGCAGTTCTCAACATCTCTAGACCTCCTTGGTATCTTCTTCTAATCTCATCTTCTCAATCTTCTTTCTTCTCAATCTCATCTCAAATTATTTAAAGCTGTTTTCTCTCGGAAGCAACTTGCGGATTTTCCTTTTCTTTTTCTCATTTTCACCAGCCACGGCCTCCTTCTTCCGCGCCCTTCTTTGCAGTTATTTTTTCCCCAAACTTTGCCAAGTTCCTCATTCCGTTACGGAACCTGTTTCTCAACTTCCTATCCTCCGCCCTAGAGTTCCCTGCTATATTATATCTTCCGTCGGTATTCAAGGCCATCGTCTTCTTAACAGCCCTATCAACTTCCCATCCTATTCGGATGCCTCCAAATTCCCCGTCGCCGACTTTCTCCTCCATACCATCTTCCCGACCTTTAGACGGCTTTGGCTACTCAGGTAATTTATTTATTTTAAGGACAATTCCGTGCTTCAATTTGTTGAGCCGTTCCAATCGCTCCTTCGCCTTTGTTCCGTTTCCAAGTCCTAATTCTTTTCTCACTACTTCAATCATATTTGGTTGAGTATGCTAAAACAAAAATATTGATGCACGTCTGAGAATCAAAAAATATTTTTTGCATAATGAATTACAAAAATAACTTGAGAAGATTTAAGATAGTTCAAACATAAAATAAAAATTTATCGTTTAGAAATGATAAAACAAAACTCTGAATGATATGTTTTTTGAAAGAACTGGAACCTTTTAGTTTGTTAGGTTACTGACTCTGGGATGTTTTGCTTAATCTTTTGGATAATAGGAAATGGCATACAAAGGACGCGACTTTTAGTGTCTGGGAGCTGACGATTGATGATTACAATTGCATAATTATTCTTAGTGGGTCTACCAAGCATGGTTTGCGCGAGGAATAAACATAATTAGAGCCCCATGATGATGAAGAGATGGTAGGTTTGTTGGAACCCCTCAGAAGCATGAGTCTAAATATGAGCCATAAGAGACAAGTTTGACTATGTAATCTGATCTACAATCCAGTTTACCTGAATTGACTGTCTGGCTTTTCCTTGCTCTTATTTTATTTTGTTCACCTTTGTTTTACCATGGGGATGGAGAAAAATGAGAGAAAGAACTAGCAGTGTTGGATTACTAACTAAAGTTATTTGGGTTTCCATTGTTGCTTTTGGTTTATTTAATTTGTATGACTTGAGCGCCATTGCTGTTCATTTGTATTTGTTGGTCAACTGTTAGGTAAGTTAATGAATGCTTGTCAAATGAGCCGAGTCGAGTTTTACCCCAGGTTGAGCTTGACTCGTTAATAAACGAGTCGAGCTCAGCTCATTTATTAACGAGCCGAGCTCGATGTAGCTTGTTTACTAAAATCTTGCGTTTTATTTGGTACTTTATTTTGTATATCATGATACATATGATTTATTTTGTTAACTAATCTCATATTATACTTTGCTGGTATTATATATCATTTAGTTAATAATTTTAACTAATCCAAATCATGTTATTTCATAGTATCGAAGCAATCTATGATACATAATTTCTTATTAAAGTAGAAAATAAGATATATTTGCTCACATACTCAACGTGTTAAACTTTATATATGGTGAGATATATAATTTAACAACCATATGAAATAAAATCATAAGATATAGATTGATTTGTCCATAAGTCGGTAATCGAGTTGGCTCTCTAGCCACATGTTGAGACATATCATGAGCTCTAAACGAGCCAGCTCACGAGTTTAGCTCAACAAGCCACCGAGTCGAGCTAGCTTGCGAGCTTCACGAGCTGAACAAAGTTTAGCTCATGTTCGGCTCGTTTATTAATGAGCCGAGTTTCGAACGAGTTTTTCTCGAGTCGAACGTCGAGCCGCTCGCGAGCACCTCAGCTCATTTGCAGCCCTATGCTTGCCTCAAGGGCTGACCTTGTCATTCTTTCTTAGAGTCGGAGGAGGAAGTCCAGAGGGGGAATATTATATTTTTCCCTTTACCAAAATATGTCAATAAAAAAGTTAGATAGCGGTAAAGTATAAATTAGACACTAGGTGGTGATGTCGCGTCTTGTCGCGGGCGGAGATCGCCTATTTGCATGTATTATGTGGCCCGTTATGATCTTTTATGAGTATTATTAGGCTAAAATTAATTTTTTGTTAGCATTTTTGTTAGTAACATTGACTTGACAATATGATATTGACTAAGAATACATATATCATGGTCAACGTCCAATTTAAAGATTTTTGAAAATTTTGGCTAGTAAATGATATTTATCAAAACCCAAGCAGACCCATTAATTATTATGGGTAGGGTATGTGTGATGTATATATCGGTTTGGGTAGGGTATGGATATTTACTTGCATAATCTAATTTTGTATGCGTTGGGTATGGATACCCATTTATTCGAGGGTGTTTTAATTACACATACAAAAACTAGACTTTAGAACTTCAAAAGTTTAGGTACCAAAATGTAGTACACAAAATTTTTGGGTACTAACATGTGTTGTTTCATCAATAATTTGAGGACTTATATGTCCCAAATAAAATTTAGGTTATAAATCTAAAAATATATTAAGTTTAGGTACAAAACTGTAATTTGCATAGTTGAGGCTTAATTCCTTTTATGGTGATGTATTTAAGGTCATAATTATTTACTCTTTGGTAGAAAAATGAAAAATATTTATTTGATATTTAGCCAAACATTCCATGTATAATTGTTGAAAATTCTAGCGTCGGTGAAAAAGAAAAACTCTAGAGAGAAGCAAAAGGAATACAAACTGGAACTCTCTTAAATTTCACGCCCTCAAATCCCAAAGTGGAAAATGACGATTTTCTAATAAGTAATAATCATATATATTTATTTTTAATTGAACTCGACATTGAGCTGAAAAAGTTAGTGCTTCATGGTTCAATTGTTAGTTCTCTAGCCTGTTGGTGAGTCGTGTATGGACTCGTTATACTTGTGGTTAGAATACATAAAAATAGTATATTAATTAGGGATAGACAAAGAAGGCAAAGAAAGAAATAAAGAAAGCGTTATGGTCTATAGAAGGCTAGTGAAAAATGAAACGAAGAGAAAATAGATGATAGAAAGGTTTTGACCAATTCTTTTAGTTGACCGTCAATACAACAGTCAACCCTTTTCACCGTAGCAATTTATTGACACTTGCTTTTGAAGATGTCACATATTTTGTTACATGTAGTTAGTAAAAATTTGTTTACTACCCGTAAATGTATTAAATGAGTTTATAAATTCGCTCTTGTAAAATGGTCGAATCTTCTCCTAAAGTTGAGTTATATAATATCTTGTACTGTGCAAACAAAATTTATACTTTTATGTTATGGTGGATTGGATTCATGGATTGATTCAAAAGGATTGATGGATTGAATTCATGGATTCAAAAGAAATCTAAACATTGGACGAATATGTAAATTTTAAAAACTATAGGTATAAATATCTCATAAAATTTAGATACCAATATATAAATTTTCAATTATTTTACATTAAAATTAAATTTGGAGTATCAAAATGTAAAATATACATTATAGTGATTAAGTTGTGATTTAATTAAATTTGGAGTATTAAATTGTAAATTATTTGATAACAGTAAACTCACTTCAACTTTATTTATATATATATATATATATATATATATATATATATATTAATTTTCGTACCTCATTCTTAGGCATTATAATTGTGTTCATTTTCACTCCATTCTAGTCTAGGATGTTATCAATGTAACATTTTCAGGGTTCGATGAAGAATATGGTGGTTTGGGCACAATTTTAAGCCAAAGGGTGCAAGTTTAGAGGACACAAGGGACAACTACTAGAGATCACGACGATCACTACATGATCACGACCACAATCTCCTAGTTGTGATTCGTGCCCATTGGCTTGGTTGTTATTATGAGATTTTTGCATCATAATGAATTACAGAGAGTACATGAGAGTTCCATTCTGGCCAACCACATGCTAGGGTTAGGGAGATTCCTATTCCAAGTGCATATTTTCTCTTGAAGTAAACTTCTTGTCAGTTAACTTTTCTTTTGCTTGTTCATGTGGTAAGTATTTCGATATCAATCCGAGCGGACTATTTATGTCGTTTACACGTTATCTAGTGATCAAATTGTGGTTAAATCTAAGGAAATTAAACAAACTAAACAAGCAAGCAATTAGACTTTGGTGAACTCGATTGAGAAAGTACCAATCGAACATTGCCCCCCTGGTCTTGTGTTAAGACGCAAAGATGAAACTCTAATGTGATAGGTAGGTTTATATAGCGTAGGAGTTCTAAATTAGCTAGGAAACCACTCCTCGAAAGTTAATCCGGAACGGTGAAAATTAACCAATCAAGACGTATCATGTGTAGGAAATATAAATATTAGGGTTAGTAGGGGGTTAGGCGGCCGGTTGTGGCATAATAGAGTTAGGATTCTCGTTAGGATTTTGGGTTTATTTCCTATAATATGTATTTAGGGTTTACGTCATAATCAGTCAAGAAGAATGTTAAGAAGAATCCCCAAAACCCTAGTTTATCCTATCAACTCCTAATTTCTATCCTCTCCTAATCCAGGCCTCGGCCGATTCCCAGTTCTATTATGTTCTTTCTCATCTAAATCCCTAATTCTTTCTCTCAAACCCTAAATCCCTAATTGTCACGAGTGCCGAAGATCAGTCCCGAGAGAGGGTTCTCACAATTGGTATAAGACCCCGGTTGTGGCACTCGTACCATGGTTTCGACCAACTTCGATCTCTCGATCGAAGAACTCACAAGGATTCTTAAGATGAAATTGGAATCTGCCGGAAACACTCGCCGGCTGAGGGCGGAGCAGGAGCCACGCGAGATTTCGCTAGGATTGGGCTTTGCTCGTCTGAAGAGCTGCTCCTCACCAGAGGCCGGAACGGAGAAAGAGATGAAAGAGCTGGAGTATGGGCCGCCATTCAAGAACGAGGCGGAGGAGTCGTCAGACACGGTGGCGGAGCAGAAGAGAATGGCCGTCCGGTCGAGATTGCCTCCGCTCCGCGAGATTGAAGTCTCGCCGGAGACGAGAATTGCGCGAGGGAAGCCACGATCCTTGGAGGTTGCTTTCGTGACGAGGTCGGAAGGGAAAGGGGAGCAGCGGGCGAAGTCGAACAGGGAGGAGGAGCTAAAGACTGCTGTCGCAGCTTCGAGATCGATCTCCACCCACTTGGCGGATTGGGTGTCGCCGAATAATAAGACCGAGGAGGAGTTATCGGCGTTGGGTGATTGGGTTGCCTCGCCGGGGTCGGAGGTCGAGAAGAAGGAGCTGCCGACAACGGAGGAGATGCGGGCGGCGCTCTCTGACGGACGGTCGCGTAGCGATGGTGAGGAAAAGCTCGCGGTGCTGGAGGAAGAAACACCGACCAGCAAGCCCAAGGAGGAACCAACATTTGTGGCCCTGTCGGAAGCTTCGCTTGTCGCCGACGTAGACGAAGAGGAAACCAAGGAATTGGAGGATGAAGAAGAAACCGAAATGCCAATAAAAGAAGAGCCATCACTGCTAACCGAAAATGTTAACCAGCAACACGAGAAAGATCAATTCACTGGATTGCTGTGTAGTTGGGGTGACGTGTCGTGGGGAGCTTCCAATTCAATTCTTCCTTGGGTGGGCTTTATTCGTGGTCAGGAACATGAAGGTGTTTTGGGGAGCTATGCAACACAATTTCTTTGCATAGGGCATTCTTATACACCAGGGCAAGTGCTTAATGTTGGTGATGGGAACTTGGATGAAAAAAAGGTGATGTGCCAAACAGGAGTATTTGATTGGACCGCCAATGGTGGGATGTTGGCAGGAGATGTTGGTGCTAGAATTCTTGTTCGAGCACTTGGACGAAATTGGAGGAAGAGGAAGCGTGAGCAAGGACTTGATTAAATTTGACTACAACCTTGAGGGCAAGGTTGTTTTCAAGCGGTGGGGATTGTAGGAAACATAAATATTAGGGTTAGTAGGGGGTTAGGCGGCCGGTTGTGGCATAGTAGAGTTAGGATTCTCGTTAGGGTTTTGGGTTTATTTTCTATAAATATGTATTTTGGGTTTACGTCATAATCAGTCAAGAAGAATTTTAAGAAGAATCTCCTAAACCCTAGTTTATCCTCTCAACTCCTAATTTCTATCCTCTCCTAATCCAAGGCCTCGACCGATTCCCAATTATATTATGTTCTTTCTCATCTAAATCCCTAATTCTTTCTCTCAAACCCAAATTCCTAATTATCACGAGTGCCGAAGATCAGTCCCGAGAGACCCTAGAAGCGGGGTTCTCACATCATGGCACTTCTTTCGATGATCGAGGGTTAACCCAGATTGGCCTAGAAACGGTTACCTGAATTGCCAAGAATGGGCTATAAGGGGATTTCCTCCTTCTAAGTAAACTTGTCCCTAAATTGCGAGCTTTGATCAATAACATCCAATTTCCATGAATAATAACTCAATCATTA